GACGGATTATCCGCGTGGTGACGGATTAAGAATACAGAGTGTCACCACCCCTATTCATCCCGTGGGTGTCGTAAGAGCCGACTAAGGAAAAAAAATTACGCAGGACAACAGCACTGCAGAGAGAAGGAAAACTTGACACAAACCCTATACCAACCCGTCTATCCAGCGTGGTATAGTAGGCCAAAACCTCCTTTCTAAGGAGAGGCTTAGAGGGAGAGGATGTGAACATAAACATTTCATTTATTACTACCACATCGCGAGTTTATTTCAGTTAAAACAGTAGGTGACGGGCCTGTTGGTCTAGTGGTTAGTGACCCTGACTGCTAAGTCGGATGTCGTGGGTTCTATTCAAACCCAGGACAAATAATTGTGTGATGAGCACGATCATTTGTTCTGTGTCTAGGTGTAGTTTATCTATATTACGTATGTATTTAGAACTATATAAGTATGTTTATCAGCAGTCTGGTTACCATAGTACAGGCTCTGCCTAGTTTGGTATCAGACGGGAGTATGTGAGATGTGTGAAATTTTTTTTAATTATTATTAATAGTTATCACAATCTTTTAAAAAAAAACAGAAAATAATAATTTTAGTATCTTTATTTTTTCCTACTTTCCGCGTAAAACTGCTACTACACATTAAGTTATATTGTTTTAGCCATAAACATGTAGGTGCCTAATCGAGTTACAATACCACGCGACCATATCAGTATTTTACTTGTTTCAATACCGACCTAAAAAAACTCGGGTACTTTCAGGTAAACGTCGTCTATTGTTTATTTTTGCACAGCAATAAACACAACGCCTATCACCCCCACCCCAAACCGGCGGTATCTTTGATGTTTTGTTTTTAAAGGGATTATCTAGTCTTCTCGTGGCCGTCATAAAGTGATCGTCGAGGAACATATGTGACATACGTGTTCTCCCGTGACATAAATAGTGTCGTTTTCTGTGAGCTTTTATTTCAAATAACATTCGGTGACTTTAGTTTACGTATTCGGAGGCTATACGAAGCCTGAGGAGTGACCTAGTGTGTTGTTTATAGTCACTGTAATGTCTAAAAATGACAAATATCAGAATTCATCTAGTATGAGTGACTGCTGTGAGGATCATTTGGGTAAACTGACCCAATTTGTTAAACGATGGTGGGAAGATGATTACTTTAAGGTTTGTTTTGTTTTTAATATTTTATGTAAGTTACGAAATTTGACTGAGTTTCTGTTACAATTTAATAATCTGTGCCAATGATTGAACTACTTATCTTCAAACTTTATAATCTTAACTTTTTGTGTCAAAATCTGAGACGCCCACAAAAGCTGTACTTGACCCCTGGCTTATCCAATTATTATTTAATATCCATAACAGCGCAAGGCGCCTTAAGCCGAGATTAAGATAAGCGTATACTTGTCCTCAGTGTATCATTACCTTTATTAAGTTTAAGCGATACTCAAGGCTAATTTCATACGAAATCTAAATTGTACCATGAATCCTTATAAAAGTAATCAAAGTCATTATTATAGTGTCCCCGTATTACATGTTATGTTACTATATTGAGTTAACATACAACTACATGGTGGATAATTGATTTAGTTGATAATATTTATTATTTTGTGAGAAAATTAATACTTAAAGCAAGTCTAGTTTCTTTAAGAACTTAATTTATATATATTGTCTATTAGTGTTTTATTAACACGATTGTAAATTTAAGAATTACGACTAAATATCCTTTTTTTTTTTTTTTTTTTTTTTTTTTTTTTCCGTGCGGAAATCCCCTCGGATACCACCTCTCGGTGGCATGTCGGACTCGAACCGACTAAAACCGCACGCCTTCGCCGGGTACTAATAGCCGGGGAACCAGGTATACCCTAGAAAGGAAGGCCCTGGTGCCCCGACATACCTCGGGTCATCTACAGACGAGTAGACGACCCCCGCCCCGTGTGGGAACCCCATGTTCCCTGTGCTCCCTGGAAGCGAGCGCGCTTCGCAACGCGCTCGCCGCCACCCCGGCCTGCTTCTGCTAGGGTGACAGATGGCCTCACCTGTCACCCCCAGGCCTGCGCTTATGGAGGACGGAGGTCGTTCTGCGACCTCCGGCGCCTGAGTCGCCTGCGCTGCCTGGCCCGTGCCCGGGCCTGGCGGGCCGGGAGAGTTCTAAACCTCTCCCGGTCCCGCTCCGCCGTCTCCTTCGCGAGCATAACTTGCTCGCAGAAGGAGACGGCACGACTAAATATCCTCAACTTAAATACTCCGTCAGAAAAAAGTCGGTGAAAATCTGTTAATGTCGTTTAATGAGCGGCTTTAAAAAGCTTCACAGGCAAGGATATATATATATATACACGTTTTTATAACTCTCCCCTTTTTGCAACGGAGCTAAATAATTCACCATTAGTTATTGTAAAAAAAGTAGGTACCTATTTGGTTTAAATGTCGCGCAATCAAACGTTTTCCTAGTAAACTTTGGTGTAATTAGGTGTAAAATGATGTTGAAATTGCTTATTTCTACAGACCCTTCCCCACCAAATTGGAATTGATGATGAACAAATGGATTTAAAATAATATAAACCGATGGGTGTGTGTATGAGTACTGAAATAACTTTTGATGGAAACGCCAGGGGTTTCATTTTGATATTTATCTTTAAGTTCACTTATGTGATATTGATAGAAATGCATATGTATGTTTGTTTGTTATGCTTTTACGCATCAACTACTCAACCGTTTACAATTTAATTTTGTGCCACTAACAATGGGTACCTAACGCATTGTTACTGGCATAGGAAATGAAACTAACTTTTAGCCTAAGCTGGATATAAGTGTCTATTTGAAAAGCTGTTACTACTCTATTTTAATATGACATGAAGTTAAAAAAAACTATTCCTTTATTCCACCCGTACTACATGCCTATTGGTATCTCTTACTGAAAACTCTTTATTACCTGGAAGAGCCACGCTTCGGTACAAATGTGCCGACTTCGGCTTTGACACAAATGGGCCGACTTCGGTTTCGGCACAAATGGTTCGGAACCGCAGTTATACCAAGGCCTCACAGAGAATCGATGTTGGCCAAGTTTTTCGTTGCTTTTCACCGAGTGAGTGAGGTCATTGGAGTCCAAACCTCTCCTCCTTCTGATTCTTAGGGTAGGACTCAAAGGGCGGCAACGTATTTGTGACTCTTGAGTTGCAGATGTCCATTGCCTCAGGTTATTACCTACTTACAATCAGGTGACCCGTCCCGTCTGCTCACTTGACAAATCAAATAAAATTTTAGCCTATTTTTAATGTCAAAATAATTGGTTTTTTCATGCTCACACGGTTATTTGCAAGATACCTATGCCTAAAAAACAGTTTTTTGTCGTCTATCGGTTTGTTCGGGTAATCTTCTAAACGGGTAGACTGATTTTGATAATATTTTACTTCCAAGCAGTTGTCTATATAAGAAGTAACGTAGGCTATTTTTGCTCTAAGAAAAACCCTATAAAATTTTGCCCGGCCCAGGGTCGAACCTTCTAAGACAGCGCTTTTCAAATTTCAAATCGAACAAACAAACCAGCTAGTCTTATAATATTACGTTATGTAAATGAAAGAAAAATCATAGGCAGTTGATCCCAAAATTATAAAATCACAAATCCATTAACCTGACCTAATTATTTACGTTTACAGTTTTCAACTTTATCCAAAAATCCATACCTACCTATTTATCCTTTCACCAGAACACTGATTCATTGAATGAACGAACGATAATCAAATTAATAGACATACTCGAATCGACCACCCACACGCTATGATACACTATTGTTAAACTAACGACAAATATTGATACAATCGCTTTGTTTCATGTCGACACACGTATCATTGTAGTTTCCATTACTACCAGGTACTAGTTTTTTAAATTTGGCTAGGAAGACTATACACTATTTTGGTAACCTTGATAAAACTCTATGGGTCTTGTGTGGTCCAATTTAAATGAAACTTTTTTTATAGTTATTGTGGCTAGATAAAAATAGGGAATTTTATACTCAAGAACTATATTAGGTAGGATTAGAGACAGAATCCATAAGTTCTTAAATGACCTAAACACCAAATGACGCTTACCTAGAAACAGATAGCTTTTAAATTTATGGTTTTGTACTTTACTAAAGTTGTAATTTTTTTGTTTATTGTACAATAAACTGAACCGTTCGAGACAAAAAGCCTTTATGTTTGCTTTAAACTTTCGCCGGGGTATCGCTTTACTTGCAAACATTATTAGTCCTAATAATACATAGAAATATACCATAGACAAGCCTTTTGGTCTAGTAATGATCGATCCTGACTGCTAAGTCGGTGGGTTTGATATCCACCCGGACATTTATCCTCTAATTCTTTAATTATGTGATGATCACTACCATTGTATCTGTGTGGGTTGAATTTATCTAAAATGTATAAGAATGTTTATTAGCAGTCTGATTCTCATAGCACAGGCTCTACCTAATTTGGCCGTGTATGAGATGTGTCAGGTTTAATTATTTTTATTTTTTACAATCAATACAGATTAAGCCATTTTAAAGCTTGACACTTACGATACGATACTGCTCTTGTGTATTTGTCTATGTGATTTAATGTGTTAAAAGGGCAATTGATAATTGTACCTACTTCCTGACACATAATAATAATAAAATATACCGAGTTCTCCATTTTACTAACATCGTGGATTTAAATAGATATTTTTCAATATATGATTATATTTACGGGAATTAACGTATTAAATACATACCTTGAAACTACCCGACACACGTTTCACAGCCCATGCCTACCGACAACGCGTTAATTATTATTTATTATAATATACGCAATAGTTTACAAGTCAATATTTTCCGAAACGATATTCCTGAATATAATAGTTGTCTTAAACGGAAGCGAAATAAACTTAAAGAATAAATTAAAAACTGACAAGACTGAACATTTCCCACATGAAAAAGGCAACAAGATGCATCTCAGGTGCGTGCTTAAGCGATCATTAAGCAAAATGGCAATGCGTCCTGCGCTTCACTGTACTAAACCTGTTTACTTACTGCATGTATCATGCTCTGAACAATATGGCATGTCACGACAGCGAGCCAACGAAAAACGATCACCTTTTAAGAACAAAACTACCTCACGACCAACTAATATAAGACCATACATCACAGTAATAAGGTATACTTTGTTATGCTACGCTAAAAAAATATCATGAAATATGTCCGCTTGTCCATTGCTCTGTCGGTAGGCGTGGGTCAGATATGTGCACAAATTTATGTTTTTCGCATACTGCGATGGAAAATAGTTCGTTTTAAGATGTAATAAGAGTATTTTCGGGTACACTGATATGTTGGTGGGTCGATCACCTCGGCTTAACATCGCGACTTTGGTGTTTTTTTGTGTCGAAGCCTTTTTGTCGGCTGTTGACAATTACTCGTTTCGTTCCCACAGTCTTAACTGTGACCGTCATGTAAAACACTCGAAGCAATGCAAAAAATACACGTCTAGACATCCAATTTGTTTTCTTGTTCCATAAGGTTTACGGAGATGCTTACTTTTTATTTGAAATTATAAGAAGAAACCTTGGGTCATGCTGCTTGGTACTTACTCCAATAACCATAATATTAGGTATAAATAAACACCGAACCTAAGTTCTCCTTGGTCATTAAATTTTTTGTCAAATTCATTTCAAATCAAACATATATTTAAAACAATGAAGTTTTGAAGTAAGTATATACTTATGTATTTTTTGTTGGCCTTTTTAATTTAAAATATTGTCTAGTTGTAGGATGGTGTAGAGTTTGTGTCAAGTTTTCTTTCCTTTTCTTGTCTAGTAACAGAAAATATAAAATGAAAATTCATCGTAAATATTTTAGATAATAAGTTTTAAACATTCTGTTTTAATTATTTATTAATCTCCATACTTACTCACTCGTCTACGAAAATTCTACCACTTTTAATGAAGCTTTATATTTTTTCTTTAATTTTTATTATCTTGAGACAATTTAATTTCATACGCGATATTCATTTATTCATTAAAATTAGCCTTACTCAAACAGAATTATACTCAATTTTTTTAATCCACATTTACATTTGAAAATTGTTTTAAATCAAACTGAATTACCTATTCTAAACAGATGCAGGTCTTTACAATATTGTCAAAACAGTATGTGATACAGCGTATGCCTACAATAAACATAATCTTAAAAATAAATCAACAAATAGCAATGTAACTTCAGCTTATACATATGTGATTCTTTATGTTAAGAATCGTTAATGGTAAGTTAAGGTTCTAATTATAATGATAAATAATAATGATGGCCTTAATGATAGCCTTCGTGGCTCACTATAATGAGAGCGCAATGTTGCTGAAATTAATTTCAGCAACATTGTGGTAGATTTATGCTCCTCGATGCTTCAAACTATGTTTCGTCAAGCAACGAAATAAGTTGTTAAATATTAATATTATAAAAATAATAGATTCTATATTTAAAAAAACAAAACCAGCTGTTGAGGAATAACATCATTCTCTTTTTTAAATAAGCCAAACGAGTGAAACGATTAGAATAATGCCATCAACAAAACTCTGAACAAAAACACAAAACGTTTTCGAGAACAACTTAGAAAGCACGGAGTTACAACAGAAAACTATATAATTATCCGCATATTCGAGTGTCCCAGACGTATATTTTTCTAAAACGACACTTTATTATCCCACATTTATCCGTTGTAGCAATAGAAACGAAATGATTGTAATTGGTGTGCTTTTACTAAATTGCCCCTGAGAGGTCCAAACGACAATATAATTCCCGAGAAATGGATAATGACATGGCAACCCCATCGGTTACCCGCCATAATCGAGTGACAAACTGTTTTAAAAAGCGACGATCAAGTTCATTATAAATGAATGTGAGGCGGGACCGCGGTTAAAGGTTTAAATTAAATTTTAACTGTTTTTTTCTGACAGTGTTTGTGGTGTGGCTGTTTTGTTATCAAAGCAGTTTTTAATTATTTTTTAACAGCGTTTTACCTAATAAAAATCTTACATATAGGGCTTTTATGAATCCATCATTAGAGAAAAAAATGTGTGAAACTACAATGTTATTTGCCGTATGTATTTATATTATAAATTTATGATGTAACGTATGTTTTTTAAATCATTCGGAGGAATGGTTCGTCCGGAAGTAGTAGGTACATTTGTAACTACCTGTATGTGACCTTTTGTACTAACCTACTGACCTCTAGCTTTAACCTACTTAAGGCAGTGGCATTTAAACCATTCTAATTTAATGCAAGTAAAATTATCTGAAAATGTAGCGTCATATTATATGTAGGGTTGCAACAAACTGATTCGATTTACATCTCTCTGATCGTAATCGTCTTGTAATAAGATGTTTGACTACTTGTTGTTCCGATTATCTATAAAGCTAAGCTATTTCCAGTATTGTAGGTTTAAATATCGACCAGTTATTAAAATTAATTACTTAAGATGTACAACATTGTAAAAAAAAATTAGGTATATGTCTAGTCAATACGTCTCGCAAGATAAACAAAGTCATTTTAATTTAAATTGTTCGAAATGATTGTTACACTACATTTATTTCCATGTATTTCTCACGACATCACAATAACAATTACGTATAAGTTTTTGTACGAAACCAGTTCGCAAAACAGACTTAGTAAGGAGTGGTAGAATCAACTTGAAATTTAACTTTGACATCGCGAGGCGGCCCCGAATGCTTACCAAATGAATAGTAATTTAGTTTTCGGATTAAATCGTTTCAAACACGCGACACAGAACCACTTTTCTATTCTTGAGTCGACTCGAAACCGTCATTTTACACAATTTTACCCAATTGCTCGAAGTTCTCGGAATTAATTTGATATTAGCCTTTGAAAACGCAAGGTGTGGTTTTGTGTCGGCCTGATAGTTATTTTGAAGAGGGATTTGAACAACCAATATTTAAGGCTTGCTCTAGACTCGATAATCTTTTAGAATTAGCCACGCTCATTCATAATTTTATTAAATGAAATGTTTTGTAAATTCGTTCATGATATGTTATTTGACTTTATAGACGGTAAACGGTTTCAAAGCTCCGAATTCGGAAAATACGCTTTGCATGTTCAAGTTTCAACAACTAGTGATTTAAAAACTAAAAATTAAGTTACGTTTATAATTTTAAAATCTGTAGACTCTTGTACCTAATTAATTTTTGTTAACAGAACATATACAACATAACAATTCTATCTTCCTTGTTACAGGAATCACAATCCAACAGCGCAGAAAGATGGAGTGGGCGCGCTCCAGAGCACAATATGGCTCTCCAACAGATTTTAAAACTTCAAGAAGCAAGAGCTTTACACAAGACTTCGCTACTGCCAATATATAAGAAGAATGGCCTGCCATCGCCAACTGGAGGCAGCTATGACAAATCTGAAAAGAGACCTGAATATCATGACCCCAGCGTTTTCGAACAATCAAAATTAGAAACAGAGTTCAGAAAATTAATGGAACAATCAGGCAAAGATATGCGTAATGAGGAGTCTTTAAAATATCTTCAACATATGATGGAGGCAAAACAACACTATGACTATTTAAAAAGTATTCAAGACAGGGATAGAAGGTGTATTGAAGAAAAAACTGAAGTAAAAAGGGAAGTCACTTCGCCAAGTCAGGATAAATCTTCTCCAGTACATGAATCATCTCCCCATAGAGTATCATCAGCTGAAGTATCTCCTACTCATAGTATCCGCTTATCAACTTCATCAAGTCCTCTTTCAACAACTAGTCCCATTAACTCATCTCCTTTGAGTCACTTACAAAACATGCAACCATTTGACTTCCGTAAACATAGAACAACTGAGAACAACATTAAGGAAGATAGTAGAAAACCTTATGAACTAGCATCTGCAGATAAGTCTACAATGGATTTAGTAAGAAGTCAATTTTTCAATTTTCCTCTACCTTCAAACTTACCAATTCCACCTATGTCAATACCTTCAACGTTTAATCATCAAGCTGCAATGGTGGCCGCTCTTAGCCAAAATCCAATGGGATTAGCTTCACTTCAAGCTTTACTACCTCAAATGTCTACAAAAGCTACAGAACCTTCAGAAAACAAAGCTAGTAACAACGGCAAGAGATCTGATGTTTCAAAACCCGAGGACGATAATGTTCTGAATTTAAGTAAAGATGCTTATGGAGAAGCTGCTCACAATTCTAGGAATATGATGTTAGGTAAATGTATTAGTCCACCTAAAAGACAGTGGGGTGCATCACAAATGCCACTAAATTTGGGAACCCATTTCATAAATCCCGCAACTGGTAAAAAAAGAGTGCAGTGTAACGTATGTCTGAAAACATTTTGTGACAAAGGTGCTTTGAAGATTCATTTCTCAGCTGTCCATTTACGAGAGATGCACAAATGCACAGTTGAAGGATGCAGCATGATGTTTAGTTCAAGGAGATCAAGGAATAGGCACAGTGCAAATCCTAACCCCAAGCTACATTCACCACACTTAAGGAGAAAAATCTCTCCTCACGATGGTAGAACTGCACAGCTGCATCCAGTATTGATTTCACCACACCGCTCTGGTATAAATATGCCACCGGTTATCAACCCTATGCATCCATTTGGCTCTTATCCCCTTTTAAATCCGTCACATAATATGTCTCAGTACCCACCAAATCTACCTTTAGATTACAAAAGTACTGCTAATATGAATTTTTCACCATCATTTGACCACTCACATCCGATGCATCGTGAATCTGACTCTGTGGAAAATAAAGATCAAGATGGACAAGGAGACTCCGATGATGATGATGGAATAGTCGTAGTAGCAGGAGATGACGATGACGATGATGGTGATCATATTGATACTAGTGATTATTATTCAAACTTAAATAAATCTATTGGATCTATAGATGACTCAGAAACGGATTATGACCAAAGAAGTGTTAGTGACAATAATGAAATAGTAGATAACAAAAAAGATGATTCGGCTAGCTTAGAAGTAATTAAAAGAAAACGTAAAAATCTGAATCCAATTCGTCTCCAAAACAATTATATTTCCGCAAATGGCACACTAGATCCAAACCGAAGCACACAGAACTCAGATGAATGTGCTTTAGATTTAAAGAGAGTCAAAACTGAGGATGTGCTGACTAATGATAAAGATGACAATACTTCAGAAGAAAAGGTTAAAAATATTGAGATCACACAAGAAACCAGTGCAGTTAAAGAAGAACCTACTGATGTAACGTATAACGTTCGAGAATTACGTGTTAAGGAGGAACCAGTTGAAAAATCAGACGTATTTAAGTCTAATAGTACAGATTCCACTGAAGAACATTTTTCTTCAGCAAATGCACTGAAGAGATTAGAAAGTTTGTCAAAGGGTGATTTTCCAAGTACGCCTAAGAAAAACGATGGCCATTCATTAGGTCCATTTAATTTATCAATGAACGATTCCATTGATTACTCTGATAGATCTCCATCTTCTTCCGTATCTAGTTTCGATTACAATGCAGAAGATATCCATGGTCAAATCTTTGGTCATTTTGATAATGGTTTCTTTGTGAGCACTAGTGAAATTCCTATGGACCATGAAAATCCAAGAAAATGCACGATTTGCGGCAAAATATTTCAGAATGCATATCTCTTAAAAACACATTATCAAAATGCTCACCTAAAACTAATGTACAAATGCAGTATTGAAGGATGCAGAGCTGCTTTTTCTTCAAAACGTATTAAAGACCGCCATAGTGCAAATATGAGTTTACACAGAAAAATTGAAGACTATAGAATATCAGACGAGTCTTCAAGAATTTTGGAGAAAATCCGAGAACAAGTGGACTTAATCTCACGGTTCAATGAAGAGGAACGAGCCATTCCCTACGTAGAATCTCATATTTATTACCGAGCAAGAGAATCGGATAAACCAAAAAGTTATTTCAATCATCAACTGCCGTTCTCTTCACCATACCCACCATTGCATTTACCTGAAGCATATTTGAGTAACAGAGATATGTTTGCCCAACACTCATTCCTTTTTACTCCCTTTGGCGTGCTTCCAAACTTCCCTCCGATACCCCTAGGTTTCTTACCATCAGGCTTAAATGCTTTCGGGTGCCCACCTAACTACTCCCCACCGCTGTCGAGGAAACTAAACTACTTTATTGAAGACGAAGCACCACGCCCGAATAAAGATGGTAGCTATCCATGTCGGGGTTGCAAAGAGTGTTTCAAGGATTTGCCTACTTTAAAGCAGCATTGTGAAAGTGTGCATGTACAATCTTTACATAAGTGTTCTGTTAGTGGTTGTAACGCCGCGTTCTTTTCGAGGACTAAAAGAAATATTCATTATGAATCTCATGTAGCACGTCGGCAGAATGGCAGGATCCACGCCACCGCCTCGTGACCTGAATAGTACTAGACATAACAGTCGAGTCTCCAGTGCATTTGTGATTTATTTTAGTATTACCAATTAGTTTAGCCGGACTAATGTGCTTACCGGAACTTGTTCTTACTAAGATTTGGTATTGTAATTTGTATAAATCTCGGCTCAGCTGGTGTAGTCTGTAATTTAGATTCTGCATCGGCTATGTATATAGTATGATAGAGCCCGCTTAGACTTTTTCATGTGTAGCTTACATATTTTAATTGTAATTCAACATTCCATAGTAATAAAATGTGCAATAAATATGTATATAAATAATAGTATGTAAAATACAAAATGTTGGCTGAATTATTTAGAATGATTTAATTGGTTCCGTAAGACCTTTTTTGTCTATTAGCACAAATAGCATTTTTGGTACAAGATTTAATAATTTTTTTAAGTTCTTTTTTTAAATTGAAATAAGTTTTTTTGTTTATGAACAGTAAAGTGTTTTTTATACCCTCTTTTTCAAATTCTTGTACCAAATATGCATATCAATACAATATAGAAAAATAATTTGATCATATCTCCTAATGTTTTGGTGCTAAAATATGACAAAATATTATTTCGTAACTGTACATTTCTTGATATTTTTAACTAGAAACTATCTGTAATGTGAGAGATTAGAGTAATGTTGTATAACTACCAAAAAGTATTAAAAAAACTTTAATATTAAGATTGTAATATATATAAAAAACATACATATACTTCTTTTTGCCAAACGATAATAAATACGTAATAAAACTGTAATAAAACTTTTATTTGCTTTTATTCGTACCTTTATTACATGACATGGTTTTTTTATAATAAATTATATGTGTATGTATTACTATATCGATTGAAAATTCTTAAAACATATGTCGCAACTTTTAGAATATTGATAGCACATCAACAGAAAGGAATATCGATGCCAAAATGACACTGAAATGTAAGCTGAGTACAAGAAATAAGGGTCACCCACTGATCTCTATAGTACGCAGTTTGGTATAACAGAAACATAGATTCCATGTTTTCTGATCATCACGGTGATATTTTAAGCACATTTTTCTTGTTGACTGGGTGGAAAATCGTTTCGGATCTCCGGCTCCTTTGGGACGCAGGAGCCCGGAGTAGGTATGTGGTGTTTAAGAAATTGTTTCAATGATTGACCACCTCTTGTACATATTTACCAGATATGTTGTTTGTTAAAAATTCGTTGGAATACAGTAAAGTTTATTTCTATTCTATTTTAACTTTGGCTAACCTGTTGCTCTAGTGGTTTAGGATACAGACTGATAAGCCTTCTGCTCTATTTCCAACCTAGACAAAGAATTTTGTGATCATATTTTTTTACATATTTATATTTTTATGAGAAGTCCGTCACCCGGTTTGCCACTACTTCCGCGGGATGACGTCTTCGCAGAAGGATGAAACCGTGGAGCGTATAACGGCCGGTATCGAGAGATCCTCTCCAGTGACTGCAATGAGGACCTGACGCTGCGACAATCCGGGCAAATTGCCAGCGTGTGTAGAGCCTAGTGCTCACTGCAATCGCAGTGGTGACAAGTGGGACTCAATTGCCTCCTAGGGACCGAGTTCAGGTACTTCCCGAAGCAGCCGTGCCCGGAATGGAAAGGTGACCGACGGTGACCAGTTACATAATTTTAAATCAGCAACAGCCTTTAATAGTCCACTGGTGGATATAGGCCTCTCCTTGGTAAGAATGTTTTGGCCTACTATACCACGCTACCCAGACGAGTTGGTGTATGGTTGTTTCAAGTTTTCCTTCTCTTTGCAGTGCTATTATCCTGCCGAGCTTGCCTTCTCTTTGCAGTGCTATTAAAAAACTGTAGATAGTAAAGATATTTATGATCTCGATTTTTAGGGCTCCGTACCTCAAAAGGAAAAAAACGGAACCATTATAAGATTACTTTGTTGTAACGCCTGGAGGTATCGAGTTGAAATTGAAACCATATACTCAGGTCTACAGTCCCTTGAAGCTCTGAAAAAAAACAAATTCCTAAGTAAACGTAAAATAAGATACGGCCGTTTATACCGCAAATAGCGCATGTATGAAATTTGGCCAGTGACATTGTCTGATACTATAAGTACAGGGAAAATCTGAAACTCTACATTTATAATTAAATCATAAACAATAAAGCCTTTATTTAAATTAAGTTATCAATCACCGAGGTTCAATTTCACTTATAAAACACAATAATATAAGTAAGTATAGGTTTTAGAATCTGAATTTCGGGCAAAACTTTGGAAAAAACTGCGAGAGCCGATTCCTGAACTATTTATTATATGTACTTACCTACAAATTTGTACGGAACCCTCGGTGGGCGCGTCCGCACTTGTCCGGATTTCTTTTACAATTTACTTTATTAAACTCCAGCTAACTATTTATATTGGGAACATAATTCAAGTGGCGTGATACAAAATGTTTTATTGGTAGGTACTATTATAATAATGACATAGTATACAAAACAGTACATCTATACTTCACATCACATCATCACACTAATATTATAAACGCAAAAGTTTGATTGGATGGATCGATGGATGTTTGTTACTCTTTCACCCAAAAACTACTAAATGGATTTTAATGAAACTTTACAGTAATATAGCTTATAGGACATAGGCTATAATTTATAAAGATATTGTTCCTATTCCACCCAAAAACTACTAAATGAATTTTAATAAAACTTTACAGTAATATAGCTTATACGTCAGAATAGGACATAGGCTATAATTTATAAAGATATTATGTAAAATGGCCAAAATATTACAACAACTGTCATGTAAGTCGGAAAAAGAACTTCCACATATACAAGCTATTCTCGCATGCGCTATAAAAACCATAAGACTTTGGCTATTTTGCCAAAACAATAGCTGAGACAACAATTGTTGAGACACCAGAACAATCTCATGCTCGGCGTCAACTGAACGCTTAATATTTTTCATCCTGCAACAAAAAAAAGCATTTAACGTAGTTTATAAAAGTGTGTTGCAGTAACCATCTACCTATTCATTTCTAAATTTTGTATATTATGAATCATCATCAAATATCCTCAATTTACATACATTACACATAGAAAAAGTGACTGTCTGTCTGTTACACCGCCACGCCTAAACCGCAGAACCAATTTTGATGAATGGTAAAAACATAGATAGGACCTAGGAAAAGGAAGTAGTACGCAGCAAATCATTTCATTTTTTGTTCTGTTTCATTTCTCTCTGCACCAAATCGTAAAGTCGCGGGCATAAGCTAGTATATTATAAATATGAAAGTTTGTTTGTTTATTACACTTTCACGCATAAACCACTAAATCGATTTGAAAAATTCTTTCACCAATGGCAAGCTACATTATCAGCGAGTAACATAGGTTACTTTTTAACGCGATAACTGATATACATACTCGTATATGCGGGCACAAGCAGTTAGGTCAGAACTATGTTTTAGCCGACTTTTTCTTATGAAAACAATAAATTAAAAAATAAATGATGTAATGCGTGGGATGAAAGCTTAAACACAATAAAACAAACTATTGCAAAATATTATAGTAGGTAGGTAAATCTAAATATATTAAGTTAAGAAGCATCTGAGAAATAGCCTGAAGGTAAAAATGTTAAAATTCCAGAAGCTGAACAACTCTAATTTGCGTGATTTATGAATTTCAAATAAGGTTAATATAAATTTTATGCGTTTTTGAAAGCAAATTGAACGAAAGGGTTATTTTAAATTGAGGGGAATAGGCTCCATGGAAATTCTTGTGAGGACTTTGAGGAGAAAATATTTAAATTAGACTTTTGAATTACTTTAGTGCTTTGCATTTTTATTTAAGTCCGCAGAATGAAAGGATGGAAAAGAATGACCTATTATAAATGTACCTACCATAAGTAAGCATGTACTTACGACTTTGTAATGCTACTGCACGGATACGATTGCACGGATGGCGTAGTAGTTTAAGCGGTCACCTCGCCGCTTGCTACTGCGCTAAGTGTTGCAAGTTCGATCCCCACATGGGACATCACTTTGTGTGATCCACAAATTGTTGTCCTGAATCTGGGAATACTTTTTGTCGAGCCAGGTGCCTATTACATTTATTATGACATAAGACGGGCCTGTTGGTCTAGTTGTTAGTGACCCTGACTGCTAAGCCGGAGGTTCTGGGTTCGATTTCCACCCAGGTCAAATAATATTTATCTAAAATTGAGATCTATCGCATTTTTACGATAAAATGATATTTCTTTTTGAACTTATAGAAAATTATTTTCTTCTTTTTAATTCAGCAAGTTACAAAAGGGTGTTTTTTAACTTTTTTAAACTATAGTTTATTTCGTGTAGAAATCCAAATCGCAGGTGAGCTCCGATGCTATGGTGATATCGTATGTGAGAAAAAAAACCGACTAAACCCTACTGAGTCTAAAATCGAAGAACTGTTAGTGCTGCGTCGCTATGTTTACAGTGGTCCACCAGACGCTAACACGTGGGTTGTAAGCTCAGCCTAATAAATGGGCGATGTGCAGACAGACTAGCCTGTTCCAATTAAACCACAATAGATACAATAAGTTGACCAAGGTTTATAGATAGTTCAACTCAGATGTGCGCGCGGCCCTATGTGTGGGTAAACCTTGTACATATACAGTGACTGTGTGTGCGTGACAAGAGGTACAGTCGTACAAATACAAATATAGTTATTTACGGGTTATATACGGGTTTTTTAAAAAAAGAGTTATTTCGTAATGTAATGTTTATTTATTGAACATTATTCTGAATCGCTACTTGAAAAATCAAATGATGAATTTTCGGATTCGCTGCTGTCACCAAGGTTAGTAATATGAATTCTGACTCCATGTCAAAATGTCTATAGTATTCTTCTTCTTTCTTTTGTACATGTCGACAAGTATTACCCCACATCCCTTTATCAATTTGACTTAAACGTTAATTTATGAGTTTCATTATTTCCGTCACATTTTGGTCGACATTATGCGAAGCA